AGTTTCCCTGGGGTGTGGCCTGCATCACCTTTTATCTTACAAGAGATATAAGGAGACAAAAGTGAGCAGAGAGATGGAGGAACCTCAAACCACCAAGAAAGAAGTACCAGGAGCAGAGTGTGTCCTTTGGACCTGGGATCCCTGCACTGAGAAGCTCCTAGACCAGGGGAGAATTGATGACAAGGACCTTCCCCCAGAGCTGATAGAGAGAGAAAGCCTTCCCCTGGAGATGGTCTCCTAGACTGTGAGAGAATAAATTTCTCTTTGTTAAAGCCATCCACTCATGGTACTCCTGCTATAGCAGCACTAGATGACTAAGCCACTTGACACAGTGGGAACCAAAGCAGACCTCTTATCTTACCCTTAGTCAATGATCAGTGACTGGGATGAGGACATCAGAGCTGTACTTAGCCAATCCCTGATTGAATGGCTAACATGGTAAAAGACAAATGAGTCTTCCATTTCCAACAACAGACTGGCCCACATCACCTGGAGACCTCCTGACAGCGAGGTAACTCAGGGGGAACCATCCCCCACAACCTTTCTGAGGCATCCTCAACTGATGTCAGACTCCGACTGGTTGATATAACAGAGAGTTGAACTATTTTTGAGCTAATAAAAAAGGCAAAGTAGTCTATTTCTCATTTTAATTCAATTTGACTCAGTTCTAAAAGGAATGTATACTTTTCAATGAAAACCATACATAAAATTAGTAACACTCAAAGCTATCCCATATTAGATTTATGAGAATTTCAGTGACATATGGTTTTGGCTCTCCCTGCAAATGGAGGGGAACAGGGCCAGCAAAATGGATTCAACAAAGAGATTGTATCCACATCACTGCCACAAACTCACAAAGACGGGCAGAAATGAGTTATAGCTGGGCTTATAATTATATCCTCCTTTCTGCTGTGGAACACTATTACTGCTGTTAGATGAAACAGAACCCCACTAATCCAACTCTGCTAATCTGTATTGGCAGTAACTCCCATAAAACAAGCAGTCTCACCCCATTTCTCTGCAAACATTTTGTAGTCAAGAGAAGTGGTGAGGTCTCAAATCATTAAGACTTGATAACTTCTACAGAGGAGCGCAGACTCCAGCACACTTGCTGGAACATTAGGCAGCGCCATTCATCACTCGTAAATAACAATACTCTGTACATACACGGCACCTTTCTCCCAAACTCTTCAGAAGGCTGTATGCGCCGTCTCATTAATCTCGCACCTCAGCAGGGGCACCTGGTAAGTGATGGCGTCCTCCATCAAGGAGAAGAGCTTTGAGGTCCCAAAGGCCAAGGGTCTTCAGGCCCGTCACTCTGGAAGTCACTGGCTCAGAGGAATCAGCAAGACAGTCTGAACTGTTCAGCCACTTTTTCAAACGGCTTTGTCCTCTTTACCACAACTGTAAAGTAACTGCTAATTAAATGAGCAAGTAAATATCAAGTGCTGAGCACAGAGTAAACCAAAAAGACACATCGCGGGGTTGGCAACCAATGTCACAAAACAGTGTGTATTAATTGTTTAATGAGAAACCAATTTGCTCTGTAAACTTTCACCTAAAACACAATTAAAAAAACAAAAACAGTTGCTGTCAAGTCAATTCTGACTCATGGCGACCCCATGTGTCAGAACAGAACTGTGCTCCATGTGGTTCTCCGTGACTGATTTTTTTGAAAGTAGATCACCAGGCCTTTCTTCCGAGGCACCTCGGGGTGGACTCAAACCACCAACCTTCCGTTAGCAGCCGAGCTTGTTTATTGTTTGCACAACTTAGGGACTCCTGGACACGCAGTAACTTTCAGCAAATGTTAGTTACTATTATTACGATTGTTATCATGCTTCCTAAACTGGCTGAGAGTGTCCCTACATCATTAGAGAAGACACCAGAGAGACCTCGGGAAGGTGCCGTCCAGCAAGCTATGGGAAGTGAAGAGCACGAAGAGGCCCTGGAGAAACTCCTTCAAGACATATTTACTATTTTGTGCCAGCCCTGTGCCAGCCACTGGAGGTAAAGGTATCAGTGATACCAGTTCCAGAAGCAAGGGGAAGAGGCAGACAGGTGGAGGTTAAGTGCGATAACGAGGAAAACGGGGTGCTGTGAGAATACACCGCAGGCACCTGGTCCAGAGAGCAGTAAAGAAAAACACAAAAGAACAGTGAGATAGGCACTGTAGGAGAATTTTATTATTTCCGATTGAGGGATTAAGCATCAGTCTCTGTTATCCAATTTAAGCACTTAATGAAAGCATTCCCAAAGTTTCTAAGGCTGTTATTTCATGAACTGTGTTCTTGGCTGTCCTTGATGATGATCCTTTATTATAGTGGGTTGCCTTTTTTTTTTTTTTTTAACATCTACTCCTCAAAACCGCCTACTCTCTGGCTATGCCAGACTAAACAAGAAAGCCAGAGCTTCCTGCCAAGAAAGCCTTTCACACAGGGCCCTTGTAACACAGGCAGGAAAGTGCAGCAGAGGTACCGCTGACAGGCAGACACTGCCACCCACAAAAGGCTCCTTTCTAACCTGCACCTCTGGGCCCAGGGTGCCAGGCCCTTCCCTCCAACTCTGTCCAAATCTAACAAGCCTGATAAAATGCTGGATGACCCTGGCAGCCAATCTATGCCACTCCTGCGAGATTTAGGCTAAAACCCAATCCACTTGTCAGGGAGTTGACTCCAACTCATAGCGACCCCATGTGTGTTACAGCAGAACTGTACTTCATAGAGTTGTCAATGGCTGATTTTTCAAAAGCAGACCACCAGGCCTTTCTTCCGAGATACCTCTGGATAGACTCAAACCACCAACCTTTCGGTTGGCAGCCAAGCATGTTAACTGTTTACACCACCCTGGGGCTCCCAAAGGCTAAAAGGACCTCCTGAATCACCTGAGTTTACCTGCAGGCTTACCTGACCTTGGGGCTCTGATCCCCAAGAGGGATGGAGACAATGGAGCTCCAGTCACAGCCACAGAGCATTTCCTAGAGGAAGACCATCTGTTCCAAACGCTCACATTTCACAGAAAAAGCAGCTGAGCCTCAGAGAAGTCCTTTGACGTTTCACAACTTAGAACCCAAGTTCACTGTGGCGCTAGCACAAAAACGGGGCCTCCTCTCTCCTTAGGGGTGCATAAGCTATTTAATTTCTAATTCACAAAGCCGATCTCTATTTGACAATTCAAAGAAAATTTCAGTTCTTCATGGAATTTCTCCTTAGGGTTTAATATGGACGGCTTATATCTCTGATATTAAAAATCTCCATATGGACACATCTCTATATGCCAGTTGCTGCTACTGTGACTTGACATCACTGTAATCCATACCCTTTCATGCAACTCACTACCCCAGGGGCAGGGGAGCTGGGCAGACTGCTGGCACCCGGTCCAGGAGAAGCAGCACGGCCACAAGAGCAAATAAAGGTATTCCTCCCTAAGGTGGTGCTGCCAGATCTTCCCGCAGCTGCACTGGGCCCACCCCGGTAGGAATTAAAGGTTGGAGTTATCCACAGAGGACATCTCTGCTGAGGTACTTTTTCACTAATGCAACACAAAAACAATGCAACTGTATTTCCTTAAATGCCCCCAACGTCCATTTTCCTTCATGTTAGAAGGATCTTCTAAACTCTCAAGCCTCACAAGTCCCTTCCCATCAGCCATCTTTCTTCCGTTCAGCTGCTCACTGAAAGGCTGGCGGTCTGAACCCACCCAGCAGCTCTGCAAAAGATCTGGCAATCTGTTTCCATAAAGATTACGGCCAAGAAAATCCTGTCACATGGGGTCTCTATGAGTAGAAATCGACTCAACGGCACCCAACAATGCCAGTTAGTTGCTGCTGTTGTTAAGAGTCTAAATTTCACCAGTGAAAAATGTTACCTACTCTGGAACGTGACCTATTTTAAGAACTGCTCCTATGCAGATGTTGAGGCAGAGAAGTGGTGCCCTATAGGGGGAGAGACAGGAAGGGTGGAAGACACAAGAGCCAGTGTATTCCAGGAATCTTTACTGTATCAAGAAGATGGCACAAACGTGCCTCGAAAAGAAGCCATGTTTGTCTACAGTTTCTGCTACTAGAAGACTGAGTTTATAACACAAACACGTGCAATTAACACCCTAAGAGAACCCCAGAGGTGGAAGTGACTTGGTTCCTGGGACCTTGCCACCTGAGTCTCTTGCCCATTGTCCTTCCATGTGGATCGCTTGTCACTCAGAAGGAGAGGAGAAATGGAAATCGACAGCTTGCACAGAGTCGAAAAAGCAAACAGGAACTGTGCTCAGAAGGGGGAGGGGGAGGTATGAGCATAAGGGTGGCTTAGATTCATATTTTCTGGGAAAGATGGCTCTGGGTTTAACTTCCTTGTCTCAGAAGTTTAGGACTTGCTGGAAAAAAACCACTTTGACCAAACGCTGGCTATGAAAGAAACGGGAGTAAAATAAGTCACATTGACTGATTAATGACTGAAAAAAAAAAACTTTCCTTTGGATCTTTCGTCAGCATGAAACGCTATCGGCCTACGATATTAAAAACACTGACTTTCGTTTCTGTTACTCGTTTTAGTTTAAACATCTGCTCTTCTAAGTAAGCACTGACCACCAAACGTTTGGGTTTTTTTTAGGTTGTGCAACTTGGCTTATCTGAGCCATCCTAATTTGCATACAAATTAGCATATGTAAGCTGTGTTTCTCATACTGTAAAGAAACGGGTCTTCGCCAGTGCAGGACTGAGTGTGAGTGACAATCCTACAAGGGACACGTCCCACACTGAAAAAAGTTTCTTGTTCTGAGGTGGCAAGTCTCCAACGCCATGCAGAAAGATTCTCTTTTGGCCAGCTCTCGCTCGGTGCATTTAGGACCCTGGGCAGGGATCGAGGACAGGTCCCTCCCTGCGGAGCCCCCGCCCGGCGCCCCGTCCGTGCCCGTCCCGGCCCGGTGGCCGCGGGTTCGAGCCCGCCCTCGGGATTGCGGGGCAGGAAGACCGCGCAAGGAGAGGAAGGGAAACGAGTCAGTACCGGCCGGCGGGTGTCCAGCTTTAGTCTCTAGCTTCCCTTGGGGAGGCGAAGACATGGTGCGCCGGGTTCCGCAGGACTGGGAGGCGGCGACGGCGGGCTCGCGGGCCAGGAGCGAGTGAACGCTAGAGAGGCGCGCGGGACGGCGGGACGGCGCGCGGACGGCTAACGAGCCGGCACACCCCCAGCCGCGGGCGCCGACGTGGCGCGCTCCCGCCGACGTCGCCCCGCCCACCATTCCTGGGGTGCGTGATGGCGTCACGGCGCGCGCCCCCCCCCCCGCTTCGGTCCCCGATGTCCCGTGTGCGGAGCATGCGCAGTCGGCAGCGCCACGTTGGCCGTTATCTCCCGGACGGAGGAGGGAGGGTGTGGACTGGGCGCGTGGGGTTGGCAGCGGCGGGGGCGGTGCTGGCAGGGGAGTCGCAGGAGGCAGAAAAAACCCCAGCATGCGGCTCCTTAATGGGACGCGCTCTGCACGCCGCGCTGATAGTCGGGGGTCGGCGGTACAGCCAGAGTGGAGGCGCCCAGAGTACTGCTGTGTCTCTAGCGGAACCTGGCCGTCCGCTAAATGCCTTTACCCGTCTCACACTTGCAGTAGCTCATTAAGGGCAGAAATGAGACATCAGATGGGAGCAACCAGGGGGCCGCGGATTGCAAGGGTTTGTTAAAAGTAGATACAAAGGGGAGAGTCTTCTCCCATGCAAATAGGCGGTGCTGTGCAACCTGCACCGATTGATTTGACGGTTCCATTTTTACCGGTTTCTCTTGCGATGGAACTTGGTTCTGTCCAAAGCTGACCCCCTCCTCTGTGCTCTGGATCATATCCCTGTCACCTTCTCTAAGTACTTTGCAACTACAGTTATGCTCTCCTGCACCACAATTACGCCTTGCTGGATTAGCATAGAACCGTGCCTAAATGGCCCGTTTCGGCCACCTCCCTTGGTGTACATCTGCCTTTAACAAGAAAACTGCTCGAAAATGTCTGTACAGGTTGTCCCTCCCTCTCCCCTCCCACCGGCTCCTCAACCCAGTGCAACCTATCTGGTTTCATCCACCTCCACGGTGCTGCCTCCAACCTCGGAAACTCCTTTTGTCTATGTGGTCAAATCCAATGGTCACTTTTCCATTCTCATTCTACTCGACCTCCAGCAGCATTTGGTCGAGCTGACCGTCCCCCTCAAGGATGCCACATCACTGCCTTGTTCTTCTAGTTCTTGGGCCGCCCTGACTGCTCACTCAGACCTTCCAATTCTTGTAAGTTTTCTAAACATTTAAGTACCCCAGGGCTCAGCCCTGGCCCACCTCCCTAACTACACTTTCCTTAGATGGTCTCCTGTAGGCTGGTGGATATGACTAGATGCCCAATCTGCAAATCCATTTCTCCATCCCTGACCTCTGGACTAAACTGCAGACTCACATATCCCACTGCTTCCTTGACATCTCCACCTGGGTGTCTAAAATAGCACTGCCCAACCCTTTGTAGTCACACAGGTGTAGAAATGGATATACTATACCTGAGATATGCTTTTTTTTTCCACCCACATTGCAACATCACTGATAGCAGGTTTGCTGTTAGCCCAGCAGCAGTTATGATATAGTTGCCTTTCTCTGGCATTCATATCAAAACCTGCAGACGGTGTCAGTAGCTCAGACGAAAATCCTGAAATGGTTAATTTTTCGGAAGTAGATTGCCAGGCCTTTCTTCCAAGGTGCCTCTGGGTGGACTTGAACCTCCAACCTTTCGGTTAGCAGCTGAGCACGTTAACTGTTTGCAGCCCTCAGGGACTCCTATTTTTTTCCCTCTTAGTGGTACATAAAATAAAGGTGCACCTTGTGAGCAATGACATCTCAGAGTCAATGACATCGCATCTTTGGGGTATAAGAAGGAGTCTTCTGAGGCAGGAGCTGGGCTGCAGAGGGGCCCTGGTGGCCCCAGGCCCCACTGGCATGCCCTCAGGCCTGAGAGAATCAGTATCTCTGCCTAACTATGACCTCTTCTCTGAGACTACACTGACTGGGACACCCTGGGGGGAACCAACCATCTTTCATTTCACATGTTCAAAACAGAACTCTTGATTCCCCCACCCAGCCACCAATGACTTCTCATCTAGATAGAATCCAAACTACTCATTACGATGTGGAGTAGCTGCCTGCTCAGTAGCTATTCTTACTGAAGGAAATAATTTTGTTTAAGGAGGAAATGAGCCTAGCTTGGAAAAAAACCCCACACATTTCCCAGCCTCCTTTGCAGCTAGAAGTGGCCAAGTGACACAATTCTAGCTATCGAAATACAAGTGGGAGTCTCTTAGGAGATTTCTGGGGAAATTTCGCATTCTTGATATGAGCACCTTCTTTCCTCCTTGGGACTTCATTGTTCTTACTGCCTTGAATACCGACAGAGGGCAGAAAGCAAAGCAATCATATTGCAACCATGAGGCAACCGAGGAGATGAATCCCATACACAAAAGGCAGCAGAGCAAAAAGATCAAAGGCGTGTGGGACCTTGCTGGCCTGTGGTGGCTCTGCACAGCAGCAGAATACTCCTTTCGGACTTATTTGTTATATGGAAAAGAAACCCTGTTAGATTAGATGAAGTCCTTGTAGTTGGTTTCTTTACATGCAGCCAGACACACCCCTAACATTCATGACCTACCAGGCCCTGTATGATGGAGTCCTGCTCACCTCTCTGAACTCACCCCTAACTGCTGCTCTCTGGCCACATGGCCTTTCTGATGCTCCTTGAGTATGAAAAGCCTTGCATTAGCTGTTCCCTCTACCTGGAAACCCCCTCCCCCCAGATCCTTGCATGGTTAATTCCCTCTCATTCCAGAATCAGCCTCTCAGAGAGGCTACCTTATCTGAAGCCTGCCCAGGCACCTTACATACCACCCTGCATTACTTTTTCTTTTTTTATTGTGTTTTAGGTGAAAGTTTATAGTTTAAGTTAATTTCTCATTCAAAAATTTATATATATATATGTATGTATATATATATATACATATATATAGTTTTGTGACATTGGTTGCAGTTCCCATAATGTGATATCACACTCCCCCTTTCCACTCCGGGTTCCCTGTGTCCCTTTGACCAGTTCCTGTCCCTTTCTGCTTTCTCATCCTGCATTTGGACAGGAGCTGCCCATTTGGTCTCGTATATCTGAATGAATGAACTAAGAAGCATATTCCTCACGTGTATTATTTTTTGTTTTATAGTCCTGTCTAATCTTTATCTGAAGAGTGGGCTTCAGGAATGGTTTCAGTTCTGGGTTAACAGAGCTTCTGGGGTCCATAGTTTCAGAGGTTCGTCCAATCTCTGTCATATCATTAAGTCTGGTTTTTTATGTGAATTTGAATTCCGTTCTACATTTTTCTCCTGCTCTGTCTGGGACTCTTCATTGTGTTCCCTGTCAGGGTGGTCATTGGTGGTAGCTGGGCACCATCTAGTTCTTCTGGTCTCGGGCTGGTGGAGTCTCTGGCTCATTTGGTCCTTTAGTCCTTTGGGCTAGTACTTTCCTTGTGTCTTTGGTTTTCTTCATTCTCCTTTGCTCTAAGTGGGATGGGACCAACAGATATATCTCAGATGGCCACTTGCAAGCTTTTAAGACCCCAGACACTACTCACCAAAGTCAAATGTAGAACATTTTCTTTATAAACTGTTATGCTAATTGACCTAGATGTCCCCCAAAACTACGGCCCCTAGGCCCCGGCCCCAGCTATTCGGTCCCTCAGAGTGTTTGCATGTGTCTAGGAAACTTCTTAGCTTTTGCTTTGGTCCAGTTGGGCTGACTTCCCCTGCATTGTGTATTCTCCTTCCCTTCCCCAAAGTTGACCCTTGTCTACTATCTAGTTAGTGATTTCCTGTCTCCCCCTCCTCACCCTTGTAACCATCAAAGAATGCTTTTTTCTGTGTTTAAACCTTTTCTTGAGTGCTTACAACAGTGGTCTCGTACAATATTTGTCCTTTTGTGACTGACTTATTTCACTCAGCATAAATGCCCTCCAGATTCATTGACGTTGTCAGATATTTCATGGATTCATCATTGTTTTTTATCATTGCATACTATTTCATTGTATGTATGTATCATAATTTGTTTATCCATTCATCTGTTGATGGACATTTAGGTTGTTTCCATCTTCTTGCTATTGTGAATAGTGCTGCAATGAACATGGGTGTGCATATGTCTATTCGTATTACGGCTTATTTCTCTTGGGTATATTCCTAGGAGTGGGATTGTTGGATGGTATGGTATTTCTATTTCTAGCTTTTTAAGGAAGCACCATATTGTTTTCCAAAGTGGTTGTACCGTTTTACATTCCCATCAGCAGTGCATAAGAGTTCCAATCTCACCACAACCTCTCTAACATTTGTTATTTTGAGTTTTTTGGATTAGTGCCAGCCTCGTTGGGGTGAGATGGTATCTCATTGTGGTTTTGATTTGCATTTCTCTAACGGCTAATGATCGTGAGCATTTCTTCATGTGTCTATTAGCCACCTGAATGTCTTTGGTGAAGTGTCTGTTCATATGTTTTGCCGATTTTTTAATTGGATTATTTGTCTTTGTGTTGTTGAGGTTTTGCAGCATCTTGTAGATTTTAGAGATGAGACCCTTATTGGATACATCGTAGCCAAAAATTTTTTCCCAGTCTGTAGGTTGTCTTTTTACTCTTTCGGTGAAGTCTTTGGATGAGCATAAGTGTTTGATTTCTAGGAGCTCCCTGTTATCTAGTTTCTCTTCTGGTGTTTGTGCATTTTTTGTTATGGTTTCTGTACTGTTTATGCCATGTATGAGGGCCCCTAGCATTGGCCTTATTTTTCTTCCATGATCTTTATCATTTTAGATTTTGTATTTGGGTATTTGATACACTTTGAGTTAGTTTTTGTGTATGGTGTGAGGTATGGGTCCTGTTTCATTTTTTTACAGATGGATTTCCAGTTACACCAGCACCATTTGTTAAAGAGGCTGTCTTTTCCCCTGTTTAATGAACTTTGGGCCTTTGTCAAACATCAGCTGCTCATAGGTGGATGGATTTATGTCTGGGTTCTCAATTCTGTTACATTGGTCTATGTATCTGTTGTTG